TGTGGGTCAAGTGAATTTGATCACTTTTATAAGATTTATATTTTTATTCTCAAAAAGTGACGGTTTGAATCGATTTTATGATAAAAATATTAAAAAAAAACACATGCCTAGCATGTACGACATTTAAAGCAGCGGCCGACTGAACTTTAATTTTTCCCTGCAATGAATCATAATCTTTCACTTCCATTATTAGCGTGTTAAAATTCTTTTCAGGGTACTTGGTCAAGCTAATAAAAATCAACTTTCTTACGAGACTGTCATCAATATTTTTATAGGAAATAAAAATTGTATTAAATAAATAAAATTAAGGTTATATATAAATTTTTATATCACAACACATATAATTAAAGTAAAAATATATCTGACTTATAACATTGGAGATTTAAACTATTTCTATGATAGTTATATACAATTAAATATAAAAAATTATTTATATTTAGAGATTATATTAGTAATCACTATAAAATATAAACAAAACACTGACATAAAAAAAAAAAAAAAACTTTCTATGAGCATATTGAAGCATCAAACATTCTTAATAGTTATGCTAGGTTTTTTAGAAGAGCGGATATTTAGATTATCAAAAGTCTCCTCTCACTGGTAATCTTACCTTATCAAGTTGCAATGACCATATATTTTAGGATTTAGTGACAAGAGAAGCAATAGAGGGGGGAAAAAAAAGAAGTTCACAAGAGGAGGAAATTTAAAGGGAGAGGCTTGTAAGCACAGATCCAGCGGTACATCACATCACTAAATTCATGCAAAAAAACATTTTTGATAATTTAGTACAGTAGTAGCGAATTCTGAATTTCTGATCCCTACTTCCCGTTTCAGTGCTTGACACTCTTCAAATAAGAATCAACATCAGAAATTGTGTTTTCAAGTTTCATAGACGACATTTTTCTTTTTTTAAATTGGCCTGTTAAAATATATATATATATATACCGGCAAATCCCAGACCAGAAAAACCAAACTCTTTGGAGACTGGAGAATGATATTTACTAATTCATAAGCATATGAGAAAAGACTGACTTGGTAACTGTCATTCCCATTGCATCACATCCAATAGAAAAATGTTTAAAAAAAAAAATTAATACACTTTTTCATCCAATATATTTTATAATATTCATTGATTCAGTTAATAAAAAAAATATTTGTTAATTCAATCATTAATTTGTAATTTTACCTTTTTATTAGTAATTTAAATTTAAAAATAATAATTTATTAATAAATATATTGTAAAGTAAGTTGAATTAAAAAATATATGAATTATTGTGCTTTAAAAAAATTTAGAATTAGATTTTGTTATCAGCAAATAAATGAATTTTATTACTGAGTAACATCAAAATTAGATCCTTGACAGCATAAAATAAATACAGACAAGCAACATCAAACAAAGAAGAAGAAAAGTTAAAACTTTTGATTATTACAGGACAGGCATATAAAGATTATAACACAAGGCACAGTTATAGTTTTGAAATTAATAGCAGTCTTCCCCAAGAAATATCATGATTATATCACAGAGGGATTGGGATAGCACGCAAGGGATCAGCTTTCTGTAACGTGATCCCGAACTTTTCCTCCATATTCATGCTCTCTGGTGTGACTCCATCTTCAAGCTTCCAATCAAAGCAGTTTATGAGAGGACCCAACATTATATGCAACATTCTCAGTGACAGATTCAGTCCGGGACATATCCGCCGCCCTCCACCAAACGGAATCAGCTCAAAGTGCCTGCCTTTGACATCAATTTCCGACCCCAAGAATCTATCTGGAATAAAAGAGCTTGGCATCTCCCAAATGCTAGGATCCCTACCGATAGCCCATGCATTGACCACCACCTGTGTGCCCTCTGGCACTGTAAAGCCACAGATTTCTATATCAGCTCCAGCTCTGCGAGGGAGCAACAGAGGAGTAGCTGGGTGCATCCGGAGGGTTTCTTTAATGATAGCTTGCAAGTATGGCAAGCAAGCAATGTCCGATTCCTGAACCTGCCTTGCCTTTCCGATCACTTCCTCTAACTCTGCCCTGGCTTTCTGTAAAATCGTTGGGTTGCAGAGTAATTCTGTCATTCCCCACTCTAATGTGCTTGTGGTGGTATCAGTTCCAGCCACAAATAAATCCTGCCACAACAGCACATGACATGGAATCAGAAGCTTACATTAAAAAGGGAAGACATTTTTCTTAAAACTATTTTAGGAAGCAATCTTAAAAGGTAAAAATGAAAACTAAGATTAGAAAACAGTATCAAATGATAACTAACTTGGAGTGAAAAAGAGATACCAAAAACAAATGCATGACATGTATTCCGTTAAGCTCCTCTGTTTTGTTTTCAACAATGTCAATTAGAGTGTCCAAGAAATCATCATTTGTTGGAGAAGCTTGCCCTTTCCTTAGCTGCAACCGTTCGTCATACATACCTTCGAAAATCTCAACCAACTTATCAGCATGAATGGATATGGTGTGCCTAACACCATGTGGATCAACCCTTCTAAGCAATGAAAAATAATCAGCCAAGTTTGGTTTTCCTAACGCTTCCATGAGTGTCCATACAGTTTTCTTGAACTCTCGCGCCCTTTGTGAATTTGAGTCGGCGAAATCCACAGAGAAAATTGTATTTGATATAGAATTGAGTGTGGCATTGAAAGCTACTTGACCTATATCTACAACCTCACCAAGACGGCTGTTTTCTTGAACCGTAGCAAGGAGTTGTTCAATTTTCTTGTGCCGCAGGTACTGAGTGGCATCAAGTGGCTGACTACCCAACATATGTATATTGCATACTTTCCGAAGATTTCTCCAAAGTGGAGAAACGGATATCCTGTTGGAAATAAAGATTTGGGAGGAAAGACTGGAGAGGAACACAAGAAGAAACTTTCCAGAAATGCTTCCTTATTCTTGGCTTGAATGTATCAATTCTCCAGTACAAGCACAAGCCATTTTATAGGCACAAAAGACTCCAAACCCAAAACAGTTAAATGAAACTCCTAGAAACTATAAAGATAAAATAAATGGGTACATGAACTATGCTGGCACATGAACTGTGCAGGTACATGACTAAACATAGGAGATTAATAAATCAAGTTTATTTTTCCAACACCCCCTCTTAAACTTGATCACCTCTAGTCACTCCAATCCAAGCACGCAGTCTTGCAAAATCTTCAAACTTCAGTGCCTTGGTGAAAATATCTGCAATTTGATCATTAGTCTTCACATAGGCAAGCTTTACATCTTTCCTCTCAATGCACTCCTTTATGAAGTGATATCTGGTGTCTATATGCTTGCTTCGATCATGAAACATTGGATTCTTTCCCAAAGCAATAGCTGACTTGTTATCTATGTAAATGGTTGTAGCTTCATCTTAAGGTATGCGCAGCATCTCCAACAACTTCCTTAGCCAAATTGCATGACAGACACATGATGCAGCAAAAACAAATTCAGCTTCACAAGTAGAGAGAGTTACAATGGGTTGCTTTTTTGAACACCAAGTGAAAGCAGTGTCACCCAAGAAAAATAGAAAGCCAGTGGTGCTTTTCTGATCATCAACATCACCACCCCAGTCATTATCACTGTAGCCATAGAGTTTGAAATTTGTGGAAAAAGAATAAGTTAGGCCATAATCAATAGTACCTTTGATGTATCGAAGTACTCTCTTAGCCATCTTCATGTGTGTTGAAGTAGGTGCCTCCATGTACCGACTCACAAGACCAACACCATAGAGAATGTCTGGCCTTGTGTAAGTCAAATATCTCAGATTTCCAACAAGGCTTCTATACAGAGAGGGATCCACCTTTGTACTTTCATCGTACTTCGACAATCGAGTTCCACAAGCAATGGGGTTGCTTACTGGCTTGCAATTTGCCATTTCAAATTTCTCTAGAACTTTCTTTGCATAAGCTTCTTGAGAAATAAAAATCCCATCTTCATTTTGCTTTACCTCAATTCCAAGGTAGTAGGACATGAGACCAATGTCGGTCATCTCAAATTCTTGAGTCATTGCCTTCTTAAATTCTTCAAACATGTTTGCGTTATTGCCGGTGAAGATCAAGTCATCAACATACAAGCACACTAGCACAAAGCCACCAATTTTGTCTTCTTTGACATAAAGAGCATGTTCATGTGGACATTTGGTGAAGCCATGGTCTTGGAAATATTTGTCAATGCGGCTATACCATGCCTTTGGCGCTTGCTTCAAGCCATACAACGCCTTCTTCAATTTCAAGACTCTGTCTTCATGTCCCTTGACAACATATCCCAATGGCTGTTGAACATACACTTCCTCTTCAAGATAGCCATTCAAGAAAGCGGATTGAACGTCCATTTGATAAATTTTCCACTTGTTTTGAGCTGCCAAGGAGATGATCAACTGAATGGTTTCCAAGCGAGCAACAAGGGCAAAAACCTCATCATAGTCAATGCCATATTCCTGAATATAACCCTTTGCAACAAGCCTTGCCTCATATTTCTCCACTTTCCCTTGAGCATTTTTCTTCACTTTGTACACCCACTTCACGCCAATTGCCTTTTGCCCTTTGCCCTTTCGGAAGAGTCACCAGCTCCCATGTGCCATTCTTTTGGATTGCTTTAATCTCTTCATGCATTGCATGCTTCCATTTCTTGTCTACTGCTGCCTCTTCGAAATTTAACGGTTCGATGTCAGCAAAGAGACAAAAGAAACTTGGATTATCAACCACCTCAGTTTCTTCATAAATATCAACAAGATTTTTTGTACGTAATGGCCCTTCAGAAGAACAATCCTTAGGTGATTGAGATCCATGAGGAGAGTGAGGTGGAGTAGCAACATCTTGCCTTGTGTCTTGTCTGGATTCTCCTTCTTGCAAAGGAAAGATAACATATTCTTCATTTTGAGAGACATTCTAATCCCATGAGCTTCCTTCATCAAACTCAGCATCTCTACTGATTACAATCTTCTCATTTGATGGATTGTAGAACTTGTAGCCTTTGGAGCTTGAATCATAGCCGATGAAGACAAATTTCTCACTTTTTCCATCAAGCTTTGATCTCTTCTCATTTGGAACATGAATAAAAGCAATACTTCCAAAAACATGAAGGTGAGAAACATTAGGCTTCTTACTACTCTAGGCTTCTTGCGGTGTGATACCTTGAACACTTTTTGAGGGAGAAATATTAGACAAATACACAGCACATGCCACTGCTTCTGCCCATAATTCCTTGGGCATATTCTTGCTCCTAAGCATGCTTCGAACCATGTTAAGAATGGTTCTATTCTTCTGCTCAACGACGCCATTCTGTTGCGGGGACCTCAGAACAATGAGGAAATGACGAATTCCATTATTTTCACAAAAATTTTGAAATTCCTTGGAAGTGAATTCTCCTCCTCCATCAGTCCTTAAGCCTTTGATAGAGTAACCACTCTCCTTCTCGACAAGAGCTTTGAATTTTTGGAATGCTCCAAAAACTTCACTTTTTGCCTTCAAAAAATAAACCCAAGTCTTGCGAGAAAAATCATCAATGAGGAGCAAGAAATAATTAGCTTTACCATATGATGATGGTTTGATTGGTTCGCACACATCCGCATGAACCAGTTGGAGTGACTTGGTTGCTCTAAAAGTGGCCTCCTTTGGAAAGCTTTTTCTAGCTTGCTTGCCAAAAAGACATCATTCACAAAGCTGGTTGGGGTGATTAATTTTGGGCAACCCATTCACCATCTCTTCACTTGCTAAAGCCTTCAAGCCACCAAAGTTCAAGTGACCCAGTCTCAAGTGCCAAAGCCAAGAAGCTTCTTCAACACAAGTCTTCAAGCTTCTTGGATGATCCACGTGAACATTGAGCAAAAACATTCTATTCTTCTCCATAGGTACCTTCGCAACCAAGTTGTCTGAACCATCTCTCAAAGTAAGGCAACCATCCTTCAAATGAATATCATACCCCATCTCAAGCAATTGTCCCAAGCTCAAAATATTAGATTTCAAAGTAGGCACATAATGAACTTGAGTAATTAAAAGGTGACTTCCATTTTTTGAACGGATGAGAACATCACCTTTGCCTTTGATTGGGATTTTGGTATCATCTCCAAATATAATGTTGCCTTTTACTGCCTCATTAAGAGTTGAAAACAACTCTTTGTTGCCACTCATGTGATTAGCGGCACCCGTGTCAAGGTACCATGCTCTGATATCTCTTTCTTCTTTAGTTGCCATCAACAGCAGCAATTCTTCTTCTTCTTTTGCTTCAACATAATTAGCCCTCTCCTCATTGTTGGTGGAGGAACTTCTACATTCATTGGCATAATGGCCATATTTGTGACAAGCATAACATTGAATATTGAACTTGTCATACCTTCTTCCGCTTCCTCTCTTTGAACCATAATTTCCATGTCCTCGTGGTTGATTGCTCGACCATTCATTGTTAAAATTTTGGCCACCTTCATTTCTTCCTCTTCCTCAGCCACAGCCAAAATTTCCTCCTCGACCACGACCACAACCACGACCAGGACCTCGGCCTCGACCTCAACTTTGACCTCTTCCTTGAGATTGTCCATGCTCTTGCTCTTGTTCTCCCAAAGAGACCTTAGTTTGGAGAACTTGGGCCATCGGTTCTTGCTTCCTTTTAAGTCTTTCTTCATATGCTTGCAAAGACCCCATGAGTTGATCGAGGGTCATGGAATCCAGGTCATTTGATTCTTCAATGGCAACACTCACAAACTCAAGTTTTGAGTCAAGTGACCTGAGAATCTTCTCCACAACACGTACATCTTCAATCTTCTCTCCATAACACTTCATTTGATTGACAATGGAAGACACTCTAATGAAATAGTCGAAAACAGATTCAGACTCCTTCATATGTAGAGATTCAAACTCACTACGAAGAGTCTAAAGGCGAACCTTCTTCACTTTGTCAATTCCTTTAAAATTATTCTCAAGAATCCCCCAGGCTTCCTTAGCCTTTGTAGCAGTAGCAGCTTTCTCAAACAGAGCTTCATCCAAGCCCATGAGTATAATAGAGAGGGCATGTTGATCTTGCTTTTGAAGCTTCTGCAAAGCATTCTTCTGATTTTGATTCAAGACTCCTTCATTCTCTGGTTCATCATAGCCTTTCTCAACAACCTCTCATGCTTCCTGTGAGCCAAGCAATGCCTTCATGCGGATACACCAATGTCCATAATTCTCCTTTGTAAGTTTGGGAACTATAAAGGGAAAAGTGCTATTCATCTCTAGAAAGTCAGCTCTGATACCACTTTGTTGGAAATAAAGATTTGGGAGGAAAGACTGGAGAGGAACACAAGAAGAAACTTTCTAGAAATGCTTCCTTATTCTTGGCTTGAATGTATCAATTCTCAAGTACAAGCACAAGCCATTTTATAGGCATAAAAAACTCCAAACCCAAAACATTTAAATGAAACTCCTAGAAACTGTAAAGATAAAATAAATGGGTACATGAACTATGCTGGCACATGAACTGTGCAGGTACATGACTAAAAATAGGAGATTAATAAATCAAGTTTATTTTTCCAACATATCCAAGGCATCCCCAGTTTGTGGTGTTGGCGGCCTCGGATTACATCGACAATGGTTCTATTAGAGAAGATAAGGTCATTAGTCTGTAGGATTTCTCTGGCCATGGCTGCTGAAGAAACAACAATTGAGACTAAGTTGCCTAGTTTGAGACGCATTATGGGACCATGAGTTTTGGCAAGCTCAGCCAGAGACTTGTGGGGTTTGTTACCAAGATCCAAGAGGTTTCCCAAGATTGGAATCCTCCGTGGACCAGGCGGAAGCTTACTAGAACTTGCTCTGCTTCTAGTACTTGTAATTGAACTACAAACTTGAACCAAGACATAGACACACATAAAGAGGAGAAGACATAGGAAGCAACTTGCCAAGAACTCCATCTCTGGTCTGGTTGATCTCTCTCCCTCTTGCAAAATGAGAATTAATCTTGAGATGTGTACGTATGTTTCAGTATTACAAACAAGTGTGAAGATAAATGGTATCAAATTTATTATGTGTGGTACAAACACAGTGAACTCAACCCCTCCCCTTAACTAACTTGGACACCCTAATTAATGGATATCCAGATGCAGGGGGCTCAGATATAATTAAGATCATGATATCCAGTAATCCAGATGAACTACCGACCGCACAAACTCGGCAAAAACCAACATTTAGCCCTTTACTTTACAAAGTTGGTAGATTTTAACCCCTCACCTTATAACATAATAGTTTTAGCAGTTTATCTTACAAAGTTGGTAAGTTTTAGCCTCACACCTTATAACATGACAGTTTTAGCCCTTTATCTTACAAAGTTGGTAAGTTTTAGCCCTTCACCTTACAAAATTGATAAGTTTTAACTCCTTACCTTATATTATGATATTTTTAACTCCTCACCGATACGAATTAAAGAAAATAGCCCTTACCTAATATCAAGTTATAACATTCTATTAATTCTATTAGTTGATTGTTAACATCCGCTAGCATTCCATTATAAAAAATATGAAATTTAAATTCAATTTTATTTGTTAGTTTCATTAACGGAATGCTAACGGATGCTAACAGTCAACTAACAGTCAGTTAACAGAATTAACAGTCAACTAACAGAATTGACAATTAGTTAACAAAACTGACAGTTAGCTAATAGAACGAATAGAATATTATAACCTGATGTTAAATAAGGATTATTTTCTTTAATTCGTATAGATAAAGGGCTAAAAGTATCATAATATAAGGTGATGGGCTAAAATCTACCAACTTTGTAAGGTGGGGGGGTTAAAACCTACTAATTTTGTAAGGTAAAGGGCTAAGAGTGAGTTAAAACCTACTAATTTTGTAAGGTGAGGGGCTAAATGTTGGTTTAGTCCACAAACTCTTTGGTTCCTAATTGGTCCAACGGCTGTTCTTTTTGCTATTTCTTAATTTTGAGACTTTTTATCGTAATATACACGTATAGAAAAATATAAAAATTGATATTTATTTGGGTGTAGGTGGAAAATAAATTAATTTAATTGAATAGTTAGTATTAGATTAAATTAAAAGTTAATTTTTATTTTTTCATATAAATTTATAACAAAAATATTTATTTATTTCACTTTTAACTTGTATTTTTAAAACAAAGTTTAAAACATTTTAATTTTTTTTAAATAGTTTTTTTAATTTGTGTTTTAAGAATACAAATTAAGAACACTTTTTTACCATTAACTATCATTAAAAAATAAAATTGAGGATTTATTTCATCAACATCTAATTAAAATAATAAATATAATATTAGTGATAAAATTAATAATAACTTTTGTCAATTTTTATGTCAATTAATACTAAAAATATATATTAATAATTATACACTTATCCTATATCTTAAGAGTACAAATTAGATAAACATTAAAAAAAAAAAAAAAGACAACATTTAAGCTAATCAAAGCTATTTTTTATCATAAATTTTTAATTTTCAAAAAAAAATTAAGCAATAGAGAGGTC